AATAGTTCAGAGGGACACCTGTAGTAAACCTGCATCTATGTTTGGAATAATCTGTACACTGGCATTGACTGGAAAAACACTTTGTTATAACCAAGGAAATATTTTGTGTCAATTAAGGGTCCAGAAGTGTCTTTGAAGATTCTGCACAAGTGCTATCCATCCATCTGCACTTCCTGCAAGAGAGTGTATGCTGTCCTCCAATGCTGCCCTCTTCTGGTAATCGTCTGAACTGAAGCTCTGAGGCTTCCATTGTAAAGGAGGAAAATAAAGGATATAGAATTACAGCGTTGCTGTGATTTTAAGCATATTCTTCAGAGCTCCAAGTACCTTTCTGAAAACAGACTGCTCCCTTCTCCTAGGGCCCCTAATTAATCTCCTCCTCCTCCCCATAACCTGCCATGCCCAAGCTGTCCACCAGGTGTCCTCAAATACTTTCAACAGACTCTAGCCCTCACCTGCTCTCACTCCTCTCCTGTTGATTCCAGCTTTGTGCCTCATGAGGACACATAAATATCATCTATGTATTTTATAAATATTTGTATTAGTGTGAATGCTCGTGCATTGCACACTTCATGTTTTACAGAAAAACACTTCATGAAAACATGCACATGCTTGACAGGTTTTCTTTGAAACAATTATGACAACATATCAAGCAGTAACCTAACAAGCTAACAGTGAAGCTAACAGGAAGTGCAAAACAACTGCACTTCTTCAAGTGGCCACATGGGGCACAAAACAGCAACAAAACAAAAGAAGAGCTTTGGTCTTCAAAGCTTTCTTTATTCATGACAAGAAGGATGCATTGTGGTTAAACTCAAAATCGAAGCTACCAGTTATACATGATCTGGGGCGTAGTCGCTTTGATTGACAGATGAAGGCTGCTGGCTGTCTGCTGTGTCAACTAAGACCTAAGGGGCCAACAACAACAACCTACAAATGGACCCAATAAAGCACATAAAACACCTTAAAGTCAAAGTGATGGGATTTTTAAGAGTCACAAAAAAGAATTTAAAAAAGTCAAAAAATTGAGCAGCTCCAAAACTCTTTGGGGCGGCAGTAGCTCAGTCTGTGGAGACTTGGTTTGGGAACCTGAAGGGTCGCTGGTTCAAGTCCTGGTGAAGACCAAAATATGGCAGCTGGAGAGGTGCCAGGTCAGGTCACTACCCGAGTACTGCCCTTGAGCAAGGCTCCAATAGCTCCGGTGTGTACTCTGCAGAGCAACGTGTAGGAGCGCTAAGCAACATTTAGAAAAGTTATAGTGGCAAGAAAACAGAAAGAAACCTCGAAAAGGACCAGACTCATGTTGAACAGACAGATGTAAAGCAAAAGACAGACAGAGACAAACAGAGTAGCAGCAACAACAACAGAAATGAATGAATGTTGTTTATGCTACGGGTAATACTTTGAAAACTCGTGTTGTCTGCACGGCAGTACTCTTTGTCAGAAAGTGGACTGCATTTCAACAGAGCTGATCTGGATCTGTTCTATTTGGTAGTCCCCTCTGCTCCAACCACTTTTAAAGAAACCCAAAGTTGATCCCACTGATTTAAACAATTTTAGACCAATCTCAAAACTTCCATTTTTATCAAAAGTTTTAGAAAAGGTGGTTTCAACACAACTTTTATCTTTTATGACTGAAAATAACCTCTTTGAGCAATTCCAATCCGGTTTTAGAGCTTGTCACAGCACAGAGACGGCCCTCCTCAAGGTAACCAATGACCTACTTTTAGCAACAGATAGAGGGGAGGACACAATTTTACTTCTTTTAGATCTTAGTGCAGCTTTTGATACTGTTGATCACAATTTTAACTGATCGTCTCAGAAAATGGGTTGGTTTAAAGGATTCTGCGCTTAGCTGGTTTTACTCTTATCTTTTAGAAAGAACCTTTGCGGTCACCATCGGTAACTACTCCTCCTCTACCGCTAACATTACCTGTGGTGTACCGCAAGGTTCGGTTTTAGGTCCCATTTTGTTCTCCATTTATATGCTGCCTCTTGGCCAATGCCACAATGTCTCCTTTCACTGCTACGCAGACGACACACAGATATACCTTCCTTTGAGACCTGAGGACGCTAGGAGCCTAGTTGCTGTCAGAAACTGCCTAAACGATATCAACTGCTGGATGGCACAAAACTTTCTCCAACTGAACAATTCTAAATCTGAAATCATAGTATTCAACCCGCCAAACTCCACTCATATCTCAAAGAGCAGCCTCGGTCCCTTATTCGCCAATGTCCAACCCACATCCCATATCAAAACAGTTGTCCGATCATGCTTCTTCCATCTACGCACCATCTCCAAAATTAAAACAATTCTAACCCAACTAGACCTTAAAAAGATCATCCACGCCCTCATTTTCTCCCGACTTGACTACTGTAACTCCCTATTTTCCGGAATCATAAATAAGTCACTGTCTCGCCTCCAGCTAGTCCAAAATGCAGCAGCTAGGCTTCTTACTGGTTGTAACAGACGACATCACATCACTCCAATTTTAGCTTCATTACATTGGCTTCCTGTAAGGTTTAGAATCGATTTTAAGATTTTACTCATTACTTTTAAAGCACGAACAGGGCTGGCTCCAAGCTATATAACAGAGCTACTGACACCATATGAGCCAGCCCGCAGTCTTAGATCCTCAGGTGGGGCCCTCCTGGTCGTTCCAAAGTCGAGACTTAAAACTAAAGGTGACCGGGGCCTTTTCAGTCAGGGCCCCTCGACTTTGGAACGACCTCCATAAGGAGATAAGACTCGCAGACTCCCTCAATTCTTTTAAATCCCTTCTTAAAACGTACTTTTACAGACTTGCTTTTATGTGATGTCTTCTTCTTAATGTCTTTTCTTACTGGTTTTACTATTTTTATCTTCTTTTACTTCTTACTGTCCTTTTATTTATGGTCTTATCTCGTATTTATGCTCATATCTTAACTCCTCTTGTGTTTTAACTTGGTAATTTCTTATCTTACTTACTTTGTCTATTTATGTTTCATATTTATATTTACTTTGTATTTTTATTAATATTATAGTTTTGGGTTTTTTGATCCTTTAACCACTTGTTTCTATTTATTTTACTGCTCTTACCTTCTTATTGCTGTTATCTTTTTATTTGCTTTTATCTCTTTTAGTTTCTCACATCTTTTTAAATCTTTGGTCCTCTTGGTCTCAGCTCGTGTTGTTGGGTTCTTGTGTTGCCTGGGTTCTTATGATGGGTTCTTGTGATGGTCAGGTTATATATGTCTGTTGGGTATCGTGCACTATGGGTTCTTTTCTGTTGAATTGTATTTAATTATTCTTAGTATTTTGCATTTGTTTGTTCTTGCTGTTGTTTATGTTCTTCTGTGTTTGGTTTAGTTTGTTCTAGTTTTTGCTGTTTGTCAAAGCATTTTGTAAACCTGTGTTTTTAAAAGGTGCTATATAAATAAAGTTATTATAGTTATTATTATTTATGGAAGCATTCTTCTTTCTCTGTTCACCACAAAACAGGAGCTTATCTCACTCTGTTATGATCATCAACCTGTTGTTTTGCTGTTTGTCCAGTTGATGGCAGCATTCCAGTCTATAATGATTTACTGGAATTGAATCTTGACTTATTGAAGTTTGATCTGGAGGAAAGTGATACTGATATGATATGATGAGGAAGGTATTTAATGCTGATATGAAAAACAAACAAATTCAGCCATATCATGATTTTTTGGAATTTTTAGTGAAAAAGATCCCAGCTCATCTTAGCTCACATTTATTCATATTACCCGGCCAGTGACAACCAAGGATCCATGTGCACATCATGAAGCTGCTTTATTTGTGGCAGTGTGTTTTTGTCTACTCGTTTATTGATACTTTGAATACGTCCAATTAACCACAGCATTAATATAAAGGCAGAATCTGTCATTATATACCGTGGTTCCCAACCTTTAATGGATTGTGAGCTCAGTTTGACTTCACAAAGCTCTGGGGACCACAGACATCCAAAACACATAGAGCTTTTTGCTTGATGCTGGGCGCATCACGCATTAATGAGACACACCGAGATACTACAAGTGTGATCGTTTTTAGCATGTGCTACAAGGAACTGGATACCGTCTTGTAGCTTAATTAAGGCATATTATTTATATATTTTATTTTGGTCAATAATTTAAAATTTCAGGGGACCCCATTTGGACTCCATGCGGTACCCCAAGGTTGGGAAAGCCTGCATTATCGAGTCAGACTCACTGAATATTCAACTCAGATGGATTTCAGTTGGCAGGCTGTCCTGTGTGAAAACAGCTTAAGAGACATCCATAACCAGAGAGATCAAATAGTGCTGCAATCATATGAACATTTGGTGCTTTAGTGCGCTTACGAGTCGGTTTTAAAGAAAAGGGAAGTGAAGAGAACGAGGAAGTGTGATGAATGCTTTGAATGGTCGTGAATAAATCAGATCTTGTGTGGCGATAAGCTGCTCTGTCATCAGATGAACATATAAGGGAAGAAGATGAAAATGGAAACGGGCCAAAACAAGACAACAGCTTTAAAAACATGCCACCAACCGAGAGAGGAGCGGTGCGAAGTAGAATATCAGAGAGTGTGCAGATGTTTTCACACGGGGCTCCCTGACGAACATCAGGGAGTAAGAACAAGACAAGTGAGGATCTAGAGGGGAGGAAACGACGTCAGTAAGTGCAAACAAACAGCTTTAAGCACCCACCTGGGGGAGGGGTTACTGCCCTTTGTGATGTCATGAAGGGAAAATCTCCAAAACGGCCTGTTTGAGCACACATTTTCTGAAAAGTGGAGCAGGCAAAAGACTTAGAGGATGGACTTTTCTCATAACTGGGGGGTGGTTTGTAGACGGCCTAGAGACACATTAGTGTTTAATTGTATTTTGGATAATGTGTGACCTTTAATACATCGTCATCAACAACTACATCGACAGCTGCACCACTTTGCCTGAATGTATTTTTTATTTTCATTAAACAAGAGCTATCCTTCAAGACACACAACATGAAACTTTATCACAGGGTTGTTTTATGTTTTTTTTATTTAGACTTTGTTTTATTACCATACAATCACAATTCACAGTTTGTACAAGGTGCTAGTGCTAAAAAACACGATAAAAAAATAATTAAAAGAGTATACAGTTCATTTTACAAACACATACATGTATATAAACCTAATTTTCACGACACACAGAATCTGAATGACTGACAGTAGTTTAAGGACGTTTGTCGTTAATTTCATAAACTCATAAACTTCATAAACTGCTTTTTCTCCAAACAGGTCAATGATTAACTGTGTGTTATACAACAGTTAATCATTCACATTTATGATTGATTAGGAGTTTTGTTTTCCACTTTTGGCTTGTCTTCAGTACAGTAGAGAATATTTGGTCTGACAGGCTCGAGCTTGACACGCAGGCTCGATCAGAATTCAAGATTTTAAAGGCATGCGAGGCGGTTTCTCTGAGAACTCGGTTGTGAAAAAAGTTAAATAAACCAAACCTCAAAAAAAGGGCCTATCACAGCCTGCTCTGTTGCCTCCGACCAGTTTGATGGATGTCTGGCATTCCTGAAATGTTTGTCTTATGACTACATACTCTCACACAGTGAATGAAATTCCCAAACTTTTTTGTTCTCCTGATTGCGCCCGCGCAGACTGGCAGAGAGTGCACGCCTGTTTTTATGCCTCTAACCCCTCCTAGCACAACATATATGAATAAAAGAAACGTTGGCAGGAAATAGTTGCATTTCCTTAAAATACATACACACACACACACACTCACACACACGGATTAAAAGTATTTCATGATTCTAACCCTTCACTAAAGACATGGAATGTGAAGAGGGAGTAAGAAGGAGGCTGATAAGCTGCCAAAAGCTACAGTTATTGCGTGGGCTAAATCATCACATTATACACTTTTGTCCTCCATAAATCAACATCAGAGACTCCGTGGTGTCGGAACGGTTCCCAATGTGGTTACTTTAAGACAACAGAGCCTGACCTGGACCCCTTTTACTCCTGTTGTCAGCGATATATCAGTCTTTGTTGACATTTTAAACTTGATTGGAGCTTGTTTACTTGGTAGATTAAGGGTGAACAAAGCGCTTACAGTTTCTGTTAAATCACAGTGATACAAGCTTTACCTGGTTATGTACATGGATGTTTGCATTAGGAAAAGTTAAAATGCTGATGCGGGCTCAAGCAAACAAGAAGTGTTGATTTCAGTGGTCGTCAGTAAGAGTGGTCTTGGTTTCTCCTGCACAGAGAGATGAAGAGAAAAAGAAAGGAAAGGGAGGGTTAGTAACAAACTTATTACCTTGTTTGGTTGTCTGAATTTGCAACAGTTTTTGATGCCACTTGTTTTAAAATAAGACAATCTGAGAATCCTTAATGATGCATTGTATCAAAAAGTATTGAAGCTTTAATAAAAACTAAAGACCTTCAGTCACAAGCTGTTTTCACATCTGCCTGAAAATCTATATGCACGGTGCAGCAGTCACAGTATATAAACGTCACTCCCCCCTCCTATTGGCTTGAGCTGAATTCTCCTGATTATATCCTGCTGCGTTTTCACATCAGCTCACTCAGCTGTGGAAAAAAATCTGGCAGGTGGCAAGTGTTGAAGCCCTAATATTTTGAACACAAAGCTGCAATGGCTCATTCAAATTCACACTCGTGTGTCATGAAGATGTGATGGTTTTTTATGTCTAACAAACAGACAGCAGAAGTGGTGACTGTCTAAATTGCACAAACACATTGCTGCCAATGTATTATGTGCAATTTCAGACAATGTGCAGGAGTTTGCCTGTACATTTTTGGCAATAAAAAATGGAAATTCAACCAAAATTGTGCACTTGGGACGAGGTATCGAAACTGTTTTTTTTTAATGTCGTCTAATTCTTACTAGAATTATATTGATGTTTAAAAAGTGACAATCCAACTCAAATGTTTGAATTATATTTACCTGTAGTCAGACTTTCTTGAACATCTCCCTCCGTTTCCTGATCATCTTCTGAAAAACAGATGAAATGTTAGAGTGTGAATGAAGATTAAATCGTGACTTTAAACACAAAGACGTTCTCGAGACTCATCTTCTCATCACTCCTCTGTAGAGAGAATAAAAATGGCTGACCTGCGCTAAAGTTTTGTTTTAGTCTGGGGGTGGAGTCCATGTGTGGAGATATCAGGGGAGGGTTTTATTTATATTTTACCAGAATCCCACTGTGACATCGCAAGGAGAGCACATTTGAAACAGAGCATTTTTCTCTGTGTTGTAAGACTTATGCAGACCACAAACAAAGGACTGGATGGGTTTATTTCACATTTTGTGGGTCAGTAGACACTCAGGTTACCTAAATATATGTTCAAAAACACTGTAGAAGTGGACTTTTCATAACACAGTATGTCCCCTTTAAGGTCTTACAACAATGCATTTGCAAAGTCCAGGATGCAGGACAGCATCCAACATCCTCCTCTGGTGCAAAATGACATAGGCTTCAATATATTAATACCATTTTGAATTTCAAGAGATTTAAAGTTAAGATGGCTAAATGTTAAATAAACAAGAATGCATTTTCAATGGTCAGTTTTTGAATTCAGGCTGCCATGTTGAATATACAGATATATATTTAATGGTACTCACGCTGAGATCGTATTTTGTAAAACACTAGCAAGATCAGAGACCCGACGACCAACACAGGAGCCCCTATCTTGGTGTCCAAAATCATGTTTGAGTATTTGGCGTCTTGTCCCAGCCCTGAATAAATCAAATAGAAGAAAATAAAAAGTTACAGATGTAATACTTCACATGGATATAAAGATAGAACATAGAAGAAGATATTTGGAACCAGGTTGGCGTGTCATGCAGTGGTGGGAAATTCCCCCTGTGATACTTTTAGCTGCAAACATTCACTTTCTCTTTCTCTCTAGGGGGGGAGGGGGGGCTGAGTTAATGATCTGCCCTCCCAGACAAAGTAGAAAGTAAAGACAACGACTGGAGGGGATTTTGGTGTTGAAAACGCGCGACTGTCGACTGTAAAACAGATATTAATCAGCTGATGATAAGTGACCGTTTACTGCATTCAGCAGATGTGGGGACTTGTAACAGCTCGGCTAAGGTCACTGCACAGATATCAACGAACCAGTTCATGAGTTTTCCTGTCGAAGAGTATGAACAATGGATCAAAACTTTCATGAAATCAAGAAGCTTGACCCCCCATGGTTTAGAGAAAGTATTGGGTCAAACTTGAAGACTTATTGATGTCTTACAAGATGGAAGGAAACAAAACTGAAGCAACGTGGGAGGAAAAGTTGCTCCGACTTGTTTTTTTAAGGAAGCTTCAGCCTTGTTGTGGTTTAATGTTTACAAGTTCAGTCTGAGCTGCCAAGATTTTCTTTTCCCCTGCATAATCAAAACACTCCTGGGGATATTTTGCTCTTTGGACTCAGCTCTCATGGTTAAAATAACAGTTAGTGTTCAAATCAAGGGTGCTGCCAAATAAGCCCTAAGGTTCACCCAGGTTCTTCATATTCTAGAAACAAACAAACACCTGCAAATCCGATTTGATAACGCTGAATATTCACCCTTCTTTAACATCTTGATTTATAGAAATATGTCGTATTTCAGGAAAGTCTTTATTGAGCTTCTGGCAGCCTGATTCTGTGTTTTGAGTTTGTGTCAGACTCACACAGTTTCCATCTTCGACATCTATAGTCGCCTACAAACAGGGCGTGTCTAAAAGGGTTGGCGTGGGCCCCCTTGAAATCTGATTGGCCACCCTGGTGCCAATCCCAAAATAACCTAATATTATTGGCTAATTGATTTGCCAAGGGCGTACTATTTGAACTGATTTGCATCAGGCTGCAGTAACGTTCTTTGCGGGCCGATTTGTCTCGTTTCCTCTTGTTAGTTCTTCAAACCCGACTTTAGACTTAATTCTCTTTTTTTGAGGAAATTTGAATGTTTCCTCTCTGTTTCCTCCCAGATTTGTAAAGCAGAACTTTCTTAACACGGGAGTATGTTGGTAACGTTTGAGCATTTGAAGAAAAGGCCATGATGAATGGCTCATCTTTGACCTTCACCTTAACCGTCCATGCTTTGACTTTTCTTTCATTTCCATTTCCAATCCCTCGCCTTAAAACCTCTTCATCATCTTCTCTCCTTCTAAATCTATATGCACGGTGCAGCAGTCACAGTATATAAACGTCACTCCCCCCCTCCTATTGGCTTGAGCTGAATTCTCCTGATTATATCCTGCTGCGTTTTCACATCAGCTCACTCAGCTGTGGAAAAAAATCTGGCAGGTGGCAAGTGTTGAAGCCCTAATATTTTGAACACAAAGCTGCAATGGCTCATTCAAATTCACACTCGTGTGTCATGAAGATGTGATGTTTTTTTATGTCTAACAAACAGACAGCAGAAGTGGTGACTGTCTAAATTGCACAAACACATTGCTGCCAATGTATTAAGTGCAATTTCAGACAATGTGCAGGAGTTTGCTTGTACATTTTTGGCAATAAAAAATGGAAATTCAACCAAAATTGTGCACTTGGGACTAGGTATCGAAACTGTTTTTTTTTAATGTCGTCTAATTCTTACTAGAATTATATTGTTTAAAAAGTGACAATCCAAATCAAATGTTTGAATTATATTTACCTGTAGTCAGACTTTCTTGAACATCTCCCTCCGTTTCCTGATCATCTCCTGAAAAACAGATGAAATGTTAGAGTGTGAATGAAGATTAAATCGTGACTTTAAACACAAAGACGTTCTCGAGACTCATCTTCTCATCACTCCTCTGTAGAGAGAATAAAAATGGCCGACCTGCGCTAAAGTTTTGTTTTAGTCTGGGGGTGGAGTCCATGTGTGGAGATATCAGGGGAGGGTTTTATTTATATTTGACCAGAATCCCACTGTGACATCGCAAGGAGAGCACATTTGAAACAGAGCATTTTTCTCTGTGTTGTAAGACTTATGCAGACCTCGCCTTAAAACCTCTTCATCATCTTCTCTCCTTCGCTTTTGTTTCTTCCTCTGCCTCGGCCACTAAACAACGGAGCAGACTCTTTACTATACAAAAACATATTACTATAGTAACCACGCTACACACTGTCTATTCACTATATTCCTTTAAAGCCAACCCCCCCCAAAAAATATGGCTTGAATTCAGATTTTTGATGTCACATTTTGAGTTTGATCATATATTTATCATATCACCTGTGATGTTCAGTCTGGTGTGGTTCTTGTTAAAACCACTGTCTGTGGACACATAACATGTATAAACTCCCTCGTCCTTAACAGCATTTTTGTGAATGAGCAGGGATACGTTCACGTTCTTGTTGTTCCAGGATCGCTCAGCAGCAAATGAATAGCCAGGCAACGATGTAAGTTCTCCATCGTCTCTAATTGTACGATGGGAGGTAGAGCCTTCGACTATCAGGCCTGCTCGTGGTATCTGCAGTTTTTAAATGTACAACGGGAAGTGCTCATGATGGATTAAGCGGGGTCTATGTAATATAGCCAAGAAGAATCAAATATTTCATGAAATTCCTGCACTGATGAAAGAATTCTCCACCTCTTCGTCTCCTCTGGCGTTGAACACTTTGCAGGTGTACTTGGACAAGGCGGATCCTCGCTGTATATTCAGCGTGCTTAAGAGGGTAAACAGACCATTTTGATCGAACAAAGCATTATTGTCTTTGTTAAACCAGCTGAGTCAGCCTTTTGGGTAGCCGGTGGACTTGCATGTCAGGGAACCGTTCGTGATGAGATCAATGTTCTGAGATTGCGACTGAAAAGTAAGCTCTCCGTATTTGGCTTGAAGGAGAACATGGAGATGAAACATGATTATTAATCTGAACTTCACCCCTTTACATCAATCAATCATCACACTATTATTTTACCACTGATATTTGATGTGTGATAAGCAGGACAAATGTACTTAATGAAAGCAGACATCTTATTTGTCATAGAGAAACAGAAAGTAGCAAAGACACAGAGCAAACAGTGAACATTATCTAAATGTACTATAGGAGGTAGAGCCTTCAGTTATCAGGCCTGCTCGTGGTACCTACGGTCTCTAAATGTACTACGGGAGGTAGAGCCTTCAGTTATCAGGCCTGCTCGTGGTACCTACGGTCTCTAAATGTACTACGGGACGTAGAGCCTTCGGTTATCAGGCCTGCTCGTGGTACCAAAAGTCTCTAAATGTACGATGGGAGGTAGAGCCTTCGATTATCAGGCCTGAGCGTGGTACCAAAAGTCTCTAAATGTACTAAGCGAGGTAGAGCCTTCGGTTATCAGGCCTGCTCGTGGTACCAAAAGTCTCTAATTGTACGATGGGAGGTAGAGCCTTCGACTATCAGGCCTGCTCGTGGTACTTGCAGTTTCTAAATGTACTACGGGAAGTGCTCATGACGGATTAAGCGGGGTCTTTGTAATATAGCAAAGAGTAAGCTCTTTTACCTGCTTTTTGTAAAGTGTCTCAAGATAGCACTTGTTATGAATTGGCGCTATACAAATAAAGATTGATTGATTGAAATACCAGCCTGATGGGGAAGGAAAGTCCCTAGTTCTCGACACAATCTACATTCCATCTAGCTCACTATTACATCTTTCCTGCAGTCCATCTTCTGTCTTTAAGTAGATCTTATAAATGTTTACACAGACGCACACAACTCATGACTTAAAAAATGAGCTCTCAGGGGCTGCTTCGGAGATTAATCATTTCCTCAAAATGATCCATATGTGTGTGTGTGTGTGTGTGTGTGTGTGTGTGTGTGTGTGTGTGTGTGTGTGCCAAAAAGCTGAGACAAAGTTTTATCTTAGAGCTCACCTGTGACGTTCAGTCTGGTTTGGTTGGTGTTAAAACCACTGTCTGTGGTCACATGACATGTATAAACTCCCTCGTCCTTAACAGCAGTTTTGTGAATGAGCAGGGATACGTTCACGTTCTTGTTGTTCCAGGACGGTTCAGCAAATGAATATCCAGGCAATGATGTAAGTTTTCCATTTTCGTATTTAAGTATGGGTTCTTCAACCCCCTGTCTACTCCAAGTTACCACCACGATTTCAGGATCTTCTAGGTCTTCAGCATGGTGGATTACACAGTCAAGTCGTGACTGCTGGTCATACTGTCCAACATTTTGAGTCTTGCAGTGAATTTCCACAGAGGACTGAGCATGACTCTGTGAACTTCCTCCACTGATGAAAGATTCCTCCGCCTCTTCGTCTCCTCTGGCGTTGAACACTTTGCAGGTGTACTGGGAGAAGGAGGATCCTCGCTGTATTTTCAGCGTACTTGAGAGGGTAAACAGACCATTCTCTGTCTTCAGCACCTTCACCTCGGGTTGGTCTAACCAAGGCTTGTTGTCTTTATCAAACCAGCTGAGTCGGCCTTTTGGGTAGCCGGTGGACTTGCATGTCAGGGAACCATCGGTGTCGAGATCAATGTCCTGAGGTTGAGGCTGAATAGTTGGCACTCCGTATTTGGCTTGAAGGAGAAGATGGAGATGAAACATGATTATTAATCTGAACTTCAACCCTCGGCATCAATCATCACACTATTATTTTACCACTGATATTTGATGTGTGATAAGCAAATGTACTTTATGACAGCAGACATCTTATATGTCATAAAGAAACAGAAAGTAGCAAAGACACCGAGCAAACATTGAACAGTCTCTGTTGAAGGTAAATACCAGCCTGATGGGGAAGAAATCTAGCTCACTTTTACATCTTTCCTGCAGTCCATCTTCTGTCTTTAATCTTCTAAATGTTTACACAAACAGACAGAAAAATGAGCTCTCAGGGGCTGCTTCAGAGATTAATCATTCCCTCAAAATGATGTGTGTGTGTGTGTGTGTGTGTGTGTGTGTGTGTGTGTGTGTGTGTGTGTGTGTGTGTGTGTGTGTGCCAAAAAGCTGAGACAAAGTTTTAGCTTAGAGCTCACCTGTGACGTTCAGTCTGGTTTGGTTGAGCTTATAACCACTGTTTGTGGTCACAAAACATATATAAACTCCCTCGTCCTTAACAGCAGTTTTGTGAATGAGCAGGGATACGTTCACGTTCTTGTTGTTCCAGGACGGTTCAGCAAATGAATATCCAGGCAACGATGTTAGTTTTCCATTTTCGTATTTAAGTATGGGTTCTTCAACCCCCTCTCTACTCCAAGTTACCACCATGATTTCAGGATCTTTTACCTCTCCCGAGTAGTGGATTACACAGTCAAGTCGTGACTCCTGCTCATACTGTCCGATGTTTTGAGTCTTGCAGTGAATTTTCACAAAGGCTGTGAAGAAAGAATCACATGAATACCAAGAAGAATCAAATATTTCAAAATCTGATACGACGGAGGAACTTACCAATACTCTTCACACTTCCTATACTGTTGAGGACAGCGAGCGTTAAGAGCAGAAAACCAGCGGAGGCCATGTTCCTTTACCTGAAATGAAAGTAAAATAATTGAATGCTTTATGCTGCATTCATGTGGTGTCGGCAGGGTTGGGAAGTAACGGATTACATGTAACGGCGTTACGTATTTAAAATACAAAATAAGAGTAATTGTATTCCGTTTTAGTTCCAGTTTAAATTGGTGTATTCTGAATACAGTTACTTTCTCAAACAAAGGATTGCCGGTAGGGATTACTTTACGGCACTACACGCAGGTTGCACTGTGCGGATGCAGAAGCAGGTGGCATTATGTGCGCAGGTGCGCTGCAAGTCAGTGCGCGAGAGCACTTTCCACACAACCGAACGACAATGGCAGAGGATGAGAAAAACGACCAGGAGGAGGACAAAAATGCATTTTTGCCATGGAAATACAGAGGTCAAGAAGGCCGCAACATCACAGTGTTTACATCTTTCAAATGACAGAAAAATAAATGGCATGCATTCATTTTTTAATTTGATTCAATATTCTAATCGTTAAGGAAGAGGAACACCTTGATTAAACTACAGGCTATTGTTGCCATATAGCCAAACATTCACAGCCTCTGCATTGTATAGAATTTCAACATTGACATGTATGTCTTCCTATTTCCCTCTTTTCGCCAACATTATATTTTAAACTGGGGGTTTCCTTTTTCTCGGGTCGCGCGTCTCTCCCCCAGCTCGCCCCCTCCGGTGCGCTCCTCTCCATAATGCGCTCGTCTCCTTCCTCTAAAGCCCGCTGCTGAGCACTCTGTAGGACGCTTGGATTGGGGGACCTCACCACTGTTTGTACCCCCGTCTTCGATACCTCTTTCCAGGGCATTTATATCCGATCAGACACAGCGCTGGCCAGCTGTCCGGTGCGCAACAACGGCGAGTGTAGAGCGTCCGTGCCAAAGAGGACACAGCTCACACCTCCTGCGCAATGTATGACACTTCATTCTTAAGATGAAGGGAAGAAAAGAGAGGCCCTGTTTAATGCCGAGGTTTTCTAAAAGTTGAGAGACCCCTACCCGAGGTAGAACAAAGCACGACCATATTTTTTCATAACTTGAACATGTCTAGTTTATGAAACGGATTGTTGTATAAAATATTTTACTGCAAAATAACTTTTTTTTGGATGTTTTATGCATCTTACCAAAAAATGAAAATAGGTCAAATTAGGGCTTCTCCAAAAGGGACAGCTCTAGCCTTATCACATGTATCTCTGGGAATCAGAATCAGAATTTCACCAAATATGGACAGGATGTTCACAGATAGTTATCAGTTACAATTATGCAAAGTTTTTATCAATACTATTTTCATTTTTTGAATTTTTAACACTTAAACACACGTAGTTTAGGCGGAAATTGAAAATTGAAAGAAAAATTCAAAAGGTATGTATATCAAAGTCTGTCATTTTTTAAGTAAGAATACAAAAATATGTCATTTTTATCTTCTTTAGACTGTTATCTAAACATAAAAGCAAGTTATGTGACTTCTCACTTGACCCTATGCTGTCACCAGCCCCTAACAGGAAACTAGTGCAGCCAGGATTTCAGGGCGACCTGGTACAATGGGGCCCTATGAATGTGTATGTAGGAGGAGGTGGCCACAAACAATTGATTAAGACTTAACAACAAGACACAATATAATTGTATTCTGTAATATATATATAATTAAACATTTTATAGTTATTTCTAATACATTTTGTCTCATATTTTCTATCTTGTATATGATTTATATGATGACACTCAGAGTCAACCCGCTGCTTTCAACAATATTATCACCTATGACATTGTTTCTATTTCATTCTAAAAAATTAAAGCATTGTCTTGACATCAGTTGTGAAATATTAATGATCTAAAAAACAGTATTGATATATATAACCTTGAGTTCTTAGAAATTAAACATACTTCATATAGTCGATTTGTATATCGGCCATACAGCCTGTTGTAGTTTTTTAATGTATTTCACTCATATAAAGATGGTGTCGTCACATATCTCCTGCTTTTAAGAAGAACCCTAGTTACTCCAGAGGATACACTGGATGAAGGGATAGTTTTTATAATACCCTAAGTATGATAAAGTGTTAAAAAAAAAGCTACAATAGCTATTTTTGTTGAATGATTTATCAGGCAACCAATGGAGCTGGATACAAAACAATTCTTATGATGGCGTAAATGTGTGTAAGGTAAATTAGGATAACAATCATGCAGACATGTTTATAAAAAACGTCTTTATACACTTATTTTACCTCATTATATATAATGACATTTGAGTTTTAAATGCTAATTACAAAGGACGATTTCCACGTTTAGACAAACTGACTGCGAACCTGAGAGCTTAACATCTTGCAACTAAAAACCTTTGTCTCACACTTAAGCATCCCCTGTGGACAAAGTTTGACCTCTTACCTCACAGGAGCTTTAAGAAAACAATTGCTGCAGAAAATAACCATCAACAAAGTCAACCAACCAAACATCACAAACAAATCAAGACACCATAACTAAATCAAGACACCATAACCAAATCAAGACACCGCAACCAAATCAAGACACCATAACTAAATCAAGACACCACAACCAAATCAAGACACCATAACCAAATCAAGACACCACAACCAAATCAAGACACCACAACCAAATCAAGACACCATAACTAAATCAAGACACCACAACCAAATCAAGACACCATAACTAGATCATCAATAGAAAAGATTGCAGATGGTTAAACCTTTCGCAGGCATCAAAATCACTTGTACACCCACTGGCTTTAGTCTGATGAGCATTTAGCGTCTGATCAACATTGCCCTGCCTCCAAAGATAATAGTCCCCTTCGGATTCTCCATTCATATAATCTATTCTAAGAAAAATGACAACATATAACCAAACTCACAACCTTTTTGTTTGAAAATACATTTAGCTATGTTCTATTGTCTGTGGCTGGATTGCCTGTAGATGGTAATGACTTTTCCTTGCATTTTGTTGTGTTGGCTGCATGTGGTTATTGTGTCAGTATTGTCTACTTTTTGTTGATTGCCTTTATTTTGATGTAGTTGATTGTGTTAAATGCATTTCTACAGTTCTACAATTTATATAGCAGACACTTTTATCCAAAGCAACATACATCAGAGAGTAAGTAAAACAAAAGCGAGGATCTAGAGAGGAGGAAAACAATGTCAGTAAATGCAAATTAACAGCTTTAAGTCAGATCGGACACTAATGATGACAGGCAGTGCACAGAGGCAAAGCACAACATTGACAGCAGTTTCTTGGGAGCTCAATCAGTATAGAAACCATCTTATAAGCCGTCGTTATCAAACAAAAACTATCATCATCAATAATAACTAGGTTACGTTGTCTTGATTTGGTTGTGTTGTCTTTGGTTGTGGTGCCTTGATTTGGTTGTGTTGTCTTGATTTGGTTGTGTTGTCTTTGGTTGTGTTGTCTTTGGTTGTGTTGTCTTGATTTGGTTGTGTTGTATTTGGTTGTGTTGTCTTGATTTGGTTGTGTTGTCTTTGGTTGTGTTGTATTTGGTTGTGTTGTCTTGATTTGGTTGTGTTGTATTTGGTTGTGTTGTCTTGATTTGGTTGTGTTGTCTTTGGTTGTGTTGTCTTTGGTTGTGGTGTCTTGATTTGGTTGTGTTGTCTTTGGTTGTGTTGTCTTGATTTGGTTGTGTTGTCTTGATTTGGTTGTGTTCTCTTGATTTGGTTGTGGTGTCTTGATTTGGTTGTGTTGTCTTTGGTTGTGTTGTCTTGATTTGGTTGTGGTGTCTTGATTTGGTTGTGTTGTCTTGATTTGGTTGTGGTGTCTTGATTTGGTTGTGTTGTCTTTGGTTGTGTTGTCTTTGGTTGTGTTGTCTTTGGTTGTGGTGTCTTGATTTGGTTGTGGTGTCTTGATTTGGTTGTGGTGTCTTGATTTGTTGTGTTGTCTTTGGTTGTGTTGTCTTTGGTTGTGTGTCTTGATTTGGTTGTGTTGTCTTGATTTGGTTATGGTGTCTTTGATTTGGTTGTTGTCTTGGTTGTGTGTCTTGATTTGGTTGTGTTGTCTTTGGTTGTGTTGTCTTGATTTGGTTGTGGTGTCTTGATTTGGTTATGTGTCTTGATTTGGTTGTGTGTCTTGATTTGGTTGTGTGTCTTGATTTGGTT